AAAAATATAATCTTCCATCAAAATTAAAAAAAGAAATAGTCATAGGGTTAAAAGGATCATGTAAAATATTATTCAAAATCATTTACATGGACAACGTTACTTATTATTTATATCATAAATTTAAGTTTATTGTTACTGTGTCTAATATAGGCAAAGTTTATTACAATAAACTCAGTTTTCAAAATAAAGATAATATTAGTTTGATAAATATTCCCTAGGAAAGTGGGGGCGGCAAATGCCCTAAATGCCTAAATGCCTCCTCTGTGTCTCAGTAGTAATAAAACTTTGATACCTCTTATCTGTATCTGAAAAGGCAATGATTAGAGGCTGAGTAGTGTTTTCCCTATTTATTCTTATAAACAAAGTAAAATAAAGGATACTATAACTGTATGAGGTAAGTACGAAAGTTAACAACTTAATTTTTTTAATGTAGGTATAGGTACATTTTGTTGACTTAAGTGAAAGTAAATTACTAACACCTAAGATTTTACTGTTACAATAATTATCTTTTATTTTACTGAAGTACACACACACAACATTTTTACTCAAACATAACTTATTCAACAATTCTCATTACCGGTACTATAAAAACAATCCTAACTATTTACACATGGTCAGCTGTTACCAACATAAATTAAATTAAATACAGAACAAGTAACAGCAAACATATTATATAAAAATAAAATTACATTCAACACCTTCCCTTAATTTTAATTTTATGTAAGAAACAAAAAATAAATATCTTGATTATCGTTCTGTTCAAGATTTTGGATAGTTGATCAAAGCTTTGCTAAATTGATGAAACTTAACATTGTTCAAGGGTTTTGTAAACATATCCGCAACATTCTCAGATGTAGAAACAAAAGAAATGTTTATTTTACCTTGCCTTACATTTTCAGTCAAAAAATGGTAGCGAACATCAATGTGTTTGCTTCGCTTGTTAAAAATTCCATTTTTACAAAGCTTAATAGCACTTTGATTGTCCATGTTTAGGTTTGTTTCAACATTAGTTCCACTCAACTCTTGCAAGAAAGTTTTTAAATATAACACTTCTTTGACACATTCCGCCGCTGCAATGTATTCTGCTTCAGTGCTGGACAAAGCTACAATCGGTTGTCTTCTTGTACACCAGCTTATTGGGTCTTCTCCATACATTATGACAAATCCAGTAGTACTTCTTCTTGTATGCTTGCAATTTGCATAGTCTGCGTCACAATATACATTTAGGCAATTTTCTCCTGATGCTGAAAATAATATTCCTGCGTCTTGAGTACCTTTAATATATCTTAAGGTTCGTTTGACATTTACAACATCTTCATTGATTGGATTCTCAACACATCTACTTTCTAATCCCACAGCAAGTGTAAGATCAGGTCTGGTTTTATTGGATAAGTACAGCAAACTTCCTACAACTTCTCTGTAAGGATAATCTTTTGTCAGGCAGCTTACTTCTTCATCAGGTTTGCTCGTTTTCACTGGACAAATGGGAGTGTCTACAGGTTTACAATCTATCATTCCATATTTTTCGAGAATACTGTTTGAATAGTTCTTTTGTGTTAACAATATCCCTTCCCTTGAATATAAAATTTCCATTCCAAGAAAGTTTGATGGGTTTTCGTCTGTTTTTATTTTAAAATCTCTAGACAGCTCGTTCAAAAGTTTCTTCATCTCTCTTTCATCTGAACCAGCAAGAATTCCATCATCAACAAATATAGCAAGATGAATACTGCCATTTGTAAAAACACAACGGTCAGACTGAGTTTGTTTTAAGCCATATTTTAGTAAGCAGTTTGTAAACAACTGGTTCCATTTAAATGGAGCTTGTTTAAGTCCATATAAAGTCTTTCTTAATTTTAAAACTTTATCTTTATGATCAAACCCTTCAGGTACACACATATAAATTTCTTCATCTAAATTTCCATAGAGAAAAGCAGTTTTAACATCAAATTGCATTAGTTTGAGATTTTGTTTGGCAGCTAATGAAAATAACAAACGTAAAGTTGAATTACTTACAACTGGGCTGTAGGTTTCATCATAGTCTATACCTTGTTCTTGGGCAAAACCTCTTACAACTAGTCTCGCTTTGTATTTTCCGTTATCCTTTCTTGTTAATACCCACTTGTTACTTAGGATCTTCTTGTTTAGTGCTTGCTTCTTGTCAACCACTTCCCACGTTTCATTCTCAATTAGGGAGTTTTTCTCATCCTCAATTGCTTGTAGCCAATTCTTTTTATCTGGTCCTTTGATTGCTTCTTCATATGTCAACATCACAAAATCTTTATATCTTTCAGGTAGTTTAGTTTTTCTTCTTAGTTTGATGTTTTGTGTAGAATCAGTATTACTTGAACTTGGCTGTTCTTCATTAATTTCATTTTTGTCTGAAACCAACTCAAACTCTACTTCATTATTACTTATCAGACTTAGATTATCTGCACTCTCAATATATTCATTTTCATTTTCGTCTTCTTTCTGGTCATTTTCATTTTTGTCTTCTTTCTTGTCATTTTCATTTTTGTCTCCTTTCTGGTCATTCTCTGTTGTATTTTCAGAGAAAGTAACCTCACCACCATTATTAGTTATTGCAGAAACAGACAACAAGTTTTCACTGAGATCAGGAACATATAGCACATTATTCAGGATACATTCTTTGGATTTTACAGTTCCACTCGTTGAAGCTAACATGGTTTGATTTTTCTTAGCAACATATATTTCAGAAGAAATATTTTGTTTATTACTTAACAAATCTTCACAATTTGTTATATGTGAAGATGTGCCTGAATCAACAACCCATTCAGATACAAAGTTTACAGTCCCACTATTACCCCGAACATTTTGTCCATCATCATACGACAAAAAAGACACAGTTTTACTAGCGACATTTAGGTTCTGGCTTTTTCTAAAGTAACAATCTTTTTCATTATGATTTGACTTTTTACATATATTACAAAATAAATTTGGCTTTACATTTCTTTTTTCAAACTTGTTAACAAAATTTTTTACATTTCCACAGGTGTTTGCTAGATGACCAACAGCATTGCATTTAAAACACCGCCTTTCATTATCAGAGTTAGCCCAATTGTGTGTAGGTTTCTTGCAGTATTTTGCTTTATGGCCTGGAATTTTACAGTTGTGACAAACAACTTGGAACGCAAGATTTTTCTCTAGGCTTACCTCCTTTAACTCACTTCTTGACTCTTCTGCTAACAGTCTCGCTGTTAGATTTGCCAATGTCTTTTCTTCATTGGGCATTGATTCCCAGGCAGTTACAAAATACTTAAATCTATCTGGCAGACTGACAAGAATTTTTGATATTATCATTTTTTCATCAATATCTTGTTTTAAAGTTTTTAGTCTGTGTGCTATGTTTTCAATTCTACTTATGTGAGAACTTATATCAGAATTAGGCTCATACCTGAGGTTAAAGAATTCTTGTAATAACGAGTACTTCTGCTGCTCTGAGTCTCTTTCATAAATATAACACAGCTTCAAAAACATTTCTCTTGAGTTTTCACAGTTAATGATATGTAACATCGGTCCCTTCTCAATAGAACTAACTATACACTTCTGAGCCTTGGCATCTCTTTTAATCCAATCAGCCTTCTTCTTTCCATCGCCCATATCTTCAAGTTTCTCAGAACCATCAACAATACTCATCAAATCACTGGATTGAAATATTATTTTAATCTGAAATTTCCACAATGGAAAAGTTTCAACTCCTTTGAGTTTTTCTACGAAATCATCTTCTTTTACTGATGCCATTGTTAGTCTTACTTTTACTTTTTCACTCACCTTCACTACACTTTAACTCTTGGGATTTTACTAGAAGATTACTTCTTGTTTTTACAGTTATGGTTGAATTAATGAATTTTTCTGGGCCCCATAACCTGTTGACTTAAGTGAAAGTAAATTACTAACACCTAAGATTTTACTGTTACAATAATTATCTTTTATTTTACTGAAGTACACACACACAACATTTTTACTCAAACATAACTTATTCAACAATTCTCATTACCGGTACTATAAAAACAATCCTAACTATTTACACATGATCAGCTGTTACCAACATAAATTAAATTAAATACAGAACAAGTAACAGCAAACATATTATATAAAAATAAAATTACATTCAACACATTTTGATGATTAAAAATAAAGAATTATTTGAATTAGGTTTCTAAATGAGAAACAAAAAATAGCAAATAGGCTAATGAATTGTAATAAGAATATGTTGGGAACAAGAATATTGGCTGATGGCATGAAACATTTTCTAAAATTGCGCTTAGACAGTTTATAATTTTGGATATTAAAGATTTTGCTTTGAACTAATGGAAGTGCAATTATCTATGGACCTGTGTTTGAAGTTGATTATTTTATTATACAGTTATACTTTGATCATTTTAGTATGTTTTGACAAGACATATAGATTTTCCGACAGCCGCAATAATAAGATTAACCTGACAACATGTGGCTAAAGATGGACAAAGAGCTTGTTTGTATTCTTGGGCTGAGTTTAAGTTTCTTCTTCTTGTTTGCTGCCGACTTCACAATGGTCAACATGCAGGTAAAAAGCATAAATATTTTGTTTAATCAATAATGACTTTTATTTTATGTTCATATCAACCTGCTTACACTTATGATTTTCTCCTGACTTCTAGCCTCTCTGAAGAGTAGTATAATTGTATCACAAATTAAAGAAATCTTTGAACAGAACATTTTTGACTTGATTGTCCGTTTTAGTTTTGGTTTGTTTTTGCAGCATTGTGATTGATTTCAAATTTCACTAATCGAAAGTCGATTGTCTTGAGATGTAGTAGATGGTCTCTTTTCCCATCATGTTGGCAAAATAAATTGAAACCAAATATTGTTATAAATTTTGCTGCTAGTGCTAACGCATTTACTAATTGTGTGTATTTTTATTTTGCAGAAAACAGTTACATCAAGCATAGCCAGTGAAAAAGCGGACTTCAGCGTTGATGGATACGTGGTGATAGGAATCGCTTATAGTGTTTTCGCTGTAACTCTGTGGTTTGGTCCTTATGTAACTCATGCATTGGGTCCAAAAATCATAATGGTTATTGCTGCTGTGTTGTACCTGTAAGTTTATTTTTACCCTTGTGGTTAAAATGTAAGAAAACTATTTTCTTAAGTATCACATTTTGAGACTTTCTATCCTTTGCGATGGAAAACATAGCTTTTATTCAGTTAAAACTTTTTGTGTTTTATTAATAAGTTATAATAAGTTTATACAAGTTGTCCCATCGTAAAGTTGTCGCCAGTTTTTTAGTCAAAATCGTCGTAGTTGATGTGAGCCACTGACAGATTGCACTAATCTAAATTACTATAATTTATGTCGAATAGGCCTACACAAACTTTTTTACCAACAGTGCCGGATTTACCACTAGGCCGGTTAGGCCGGAACCAAAAGGGGCCGCAGTGGATTGAAAAAACATTTTTTAGATAAAATATTTTTTTAACCATCAATTTGCTGCTGTGACGATAATGATGTCAGGGATAATACGGACCGAGGGAGTTGTTAACGATTTTGCTGCGGCTGCGGAATGACGGTGATGATGTCCCGTAATTGCTGACCACGGGAGACGTTCATGATTTTGCCGCGGTCGCGAGTGCTGATGATGATGTCCCCGTGATTGCGGCCCACAGAAATGTTCATGATTTCACCGCGGCCGCGAGTGTCACCATAATTGCTGCCCGTGGGAGATGTTCACGATTTCGCCACGACCGTGGGTGTCGATGATGAAAACGATGTCCCTGTGATTGCAGCATGCAGGAAATGTTAATGATTTTGCCACGGTCGTGGGAGAAGTTCACGATTTCGCCACGGCTGGGGCTGTCAATGATGATGTCCCTGTGATGACTTCCCGGGGGGGATTTTTAAGATTTCGCCACGGCTGCGAAAGAGTTCTCTAAGAGTCTTTAAGAGTTCGAATGACAGGCCGTCATTTTGATGTGTTATGTTACACAAAGACAAAAGAAAACCAATCTATTATCATGCCGCTCACCACAACCAAAATTTTGAAGGCTCCTCAAAGCCTTTTACAAGTAAACCCACATCAAAATCCTAAATGCAACCAACTGGTCGTAAGAAATTCCGAATCTGGCTCACCAGTTGGTACTTAAAACAAGTTTTTAGTTTCATAAAAGTCTGCCAACAGTTCACACTTCTGTGAATCAGTCTCACAGATTAGGTTGTCTTTTTTCAACGTAGGTATGACCGAAGGAGTATTTAGAAGACGTTTAGTTGCTTTCCACATATTTGGGTCACTCGGATGAATATCAGAAACATACTTCTTATAGTTGTATATTCTAAATTCCTCGAGTTCTGTTTTCACTCGTCTTCCCAGTTCGTTGAGTTGCCTTTTAAAGTGTGGTAGACGGTATCGCTGCCAAAAAGATAGCTTTCCTGGCAAAAGTTTTTAATGATTCGGTAAATATTTTTACAGAGTTTTCTATTTCGATGCAAGACGATAATTTAGGCATACCTTCTAAGCATTTATCCAATTCTGCACTGAAAATTTCCCAATTTATCTTTCCATTAATTAATCGTTGAGGTGGACAACTGAATTGAGGTTGCGTGAAGAAGGTTACTATAACGGGAGAATGGTCAGAGTCCAGCTCGGGTAAAACATTTTGAATGATTGGAGCTGTAAAGTTTTTGTGCAAAACCAAATCAAGTATATCTGGTTGATAATTACTTTGCCATGGAAAATGTGTTGGTTCTTGTGGCGCATCAATCATTACGTTTGAGTTATTTGTGAGTCGTAACAAACGGTTTCCATTTGGGTTTGTGGTTCTGCAACCCCATATCTGATGTTTACAATTTAGGTCCCCCATAACAACAGTCGAACAATTTTCTGCAAACAGCACCTGCAAGTCATTATTGTGTAGCCGTTTGTTCGGGGGTTTGTAGACAGAAATTAAGCGAAAGTCTGCACCATGACTTAAATTAATTTTTACACCAACAGCTTCTACGGAAGATAAACGAGGTAAAAATATATTATGGTGGTCCAAAGTTCTTCGCACAAAAATTGCAACGCCGCCTGAAGCTATTGGATTATGCCTATCTTCCCTTTATATAGAATACCCATTAATTTTGAAATTTTCCACATTGGTCAGGTGTGTCTCAGTAATACACACAATATCGATGCTATGTCTAACCATAAACGTGATAAAAGTAGCACGTTTATTTCTAAGCCCATTGGCATTCCCGGGAGGGTTAAATTGTTAATTTGAAAATAATTGACCTGATCCATTTGAGAGAATAGAGCTTATCACATTACTTATTATCTTTTTGAGAGTAGGAATGAACGATTTCACCACATCTAGGATTATTTGTTCAAAGTTTTGAAACACAGACGTATCAGGAGCATCATCAGATTGTTCTTGTGAGAATGAATTATTAGTGTTGCGGCGGCTTGTAGCAGCAACTTTAGCAAATGAAACTCGTGTAGAAGGTTCCTGATGAGGCGAAAAGTTTTGTATGAATCTCAGGAAAATGAGTAGCAGAATTCAAATCAGGGGGGGAAGGAGTATTGTCTTTTTTCTCAGTAGCATTTTGAGGGCGATTGCGAGGACTACCCCGATTGTGATCTTTGTTGGTTATTTTCTGGTATACTTGACAGCCTCTTCTGTAGTTAGCTGTGTGGCTTTTGCCACAATTAACACATTGCGGAGCTGCAGTTTTTTGTTTAGGACATTCAGAGTAGTGATGTTGACCAGTGCACCGCACGCACCTTGGGTCCAACTTACAAAAGTTCTTCGTGTGCCCATAGCGTTGACATCGAGTGCATTGGGGAATTTGCCTAGATTTTCTTTTCATTTCGACACTTACAACTGCAAAACAGATTGTGGTTAAATTAAAGATAGCTTTGCCGTCGTCGTTGTTTTCTAAGTCTACTGCACAAAGAGGGAGTGGAAGTTGAGTGTGTACAAAGAACAAACAAAGACTTGTCACAACTTTAAAAGAGAGTCCGAGCTCAAAAATACGTAAAAAAGATAATTATTCACAGAGCAAAAATCAACACAGTCACTATAAATAAGAACCAGCTGCATCCTCTTATTGTTTTTATAATAATAAAAACAATAACAATCATATCAAAACAAATACATATACTAATTTGACATTTATAATCAGGTGATCTTTTGTTTGCAATCCGAGTGACGTCAGAATATGACGGGAATAGCACACCTATATATGTTTTTTCCTTCCACCATGGATCTTTTCAAATAAAATCTGAAAATTAGTTATCTGATCTAAGGCCAATACAGTCTATGGAGTACCTCAGGGGAGTGCCCTTGGTCCCTTGCCAATACACAAGAGATATTCACCCCCCCCCCCACCCTATTGAGATATTGGGGACCTTTTAATGTTTGCTGTATTTTTTATATATACAGCAGACATCCCTATGGTTCCCACGTCACAATTGCTACATTTGCTGATCAGTATGTCTTTGGAATGTCGATTAGTATGTCTTTGGATCAGTGAAAGAAGAAATTACAAACCATATCAAAAAGTACCAAGAAACATTAGAATATAATCCGAACAGTCAGGCTGGAATAATCACAAAATTCTGTTTTAGTCATGATTTGAAATAGTGCCACACTGTTTCCACAGAATGCAGCACAGAATAGTTATTTGTGTAACTATAGTGAGCAAAATGGAACTTTGTGAGGCTCGTGTGGAATGTTCTTTGAGTGCAGCAAAGGCCATTTGTGCTTGTGTTACACATTATATTTTTCCTAAAGTCACTATAAAGCACATAAATAATTAGTCTTTCAAACACGTTTTTAGGTTAGGTTAAACCCAAGCATTGAAGGGAAACACAGCACCAGCTGATTGTAGTCTTAGTTCTTAGTATCTTTAGGTGTTACTTTTTTTCAAGAGTGTATAAACTTTTAGCTCAGTGGTATAAACAGTAATAATCAGCATAAACAGTATAAGCAGAATAAACAAGTAATTTTGTAACTTTCTGACTTACACCACGAAGAAAACAGTCTGTAATGCTCATTCATACTTCTTTTTTGATTTTTCAGGAAACATGTACAGGTTTAATGAAACATGTTTGTTTTGCAGTTTCTGCTACTGTACATATTTTGTCTGGTCACGAAATGACAGGTTAAATCGTAGTATCAATAGTCAATCAGCTGATCATAGTAGCAGTATCTTTAAGTGTGTTGCCAACATATTTCCAAGTGTGCACGGATTACGTGCATAATAAAACCATACTGTCTTGTGTTGTTTGGTTGGAAAACTGGTGTGCGCCAAAGTAATCATTCAACAGAGTATAAAAAACAATAGTGAAATTGAAATACACTGCTTAAATTATTTACAACAATTGCTATCAACTAACTGTTTGCAGTATGAATTATGAAGACCTTGCTGTGGAATCAAAACTTAAGTATTTGTGCAGAGCCAGCATTCAAAAGTTCCAAAGGTTTCTTTGTAAATTAAAATCTGTGTCTTCAACTTATGAGACCTTACACTATACGCTCTTATCTTGTTGGTCTTACAGAAAATAGATTTAAAATTTAAAAGCCCAGCTTTAAGAATCAAAATGTGCTGACCTTGACAATATTGAGTTGAAACATCACATTCAATGTTATTTACGTTGCTTAGGACCTTATTTACACGCTTTCTTGTGTTGAAACTGTTTCAGTACTTACATCGTTGCTTACCTCTTTGAGAACTCATGGATTATTTACGCAAGTGCCGTGTCAGTGGGTCTAGGAGCTGGAATACTGTGGCCTGCAGAAGGACAATATATGATTGGGAACTCTTCCAGCAAAAACGCGGGAAGAAACGTTGGCATTTTCTGGCTTATCTACAGCAGTTCGTGAGTTAACCATTTATTTGTCATACCAAAACAATGAATCATTTTCAGGATTTTTGAATAATTGTATCTAGATAAACTCAAATTAGAATCTTGAAAAAAATCCTAACCAACAAAAATAAAGTTTACCAAACTATTTTTCAACAGGAGCATGATGGGGAACACATTTGTTTATTTTACCTTCCATGATAAAATACACATTGATCAAGTGACAAGAAGAACTGCCATTTCTATTTTAACAGTTATCAATATCATAGCTATTGTTGCATTCTGCCTGTTGCCAAAGCCGTTGTATGAACTCAAATCGAATGACTACGGTCCTTTCAAGACAATGAAGCAGAGTTGGAAAATATTGACGTCCTCCAGAATGATATGGCTTGTAATTACTTTCTGTTACACAGGTGAGAAAGTTTTAAACAATTTTGACTCGATTCATATCAGAGTTTCAGCTCAAGTTGAGAACTTAGGAGTGTAACTAAGATTAACTACTTTTAAAAAGATTGATCAGTCTAATTTGCCATTAAAATGAGAAACTTATGCAGGTATATATATGAATTTTACTGTATCATGAGTAATCATCAACTCGAAATATAACGCTTTTATATTTTATGTACATTTTATATTTATTTATACTGTCTTGTTTCTGCTTTGTTATTGGTCTATTTATTTGTTTGATAGTTTAGTTATTGTTATTGACAAAAGTTGTTCTGAAAAGCAGTAGGTAGTATTGAAAAATGCTTGATAAATAAAAGATATTTGTGTTTATTTATTTATTATTTATTTTATTTACTATTTAATTGAGTTTTGGTTTTGTATTTTTAGATGACAAGAACATGCATAAAACCATTGACTATTGGATATAGAAACAGTTGTTGTATTAATAGTCAAAGATAAAACCTAATATCATAACAATGAGCATTTATATTAGTTTGGGTTTAAAATTGGTTACCGTACAAAAGACCTGACTTCATCAAACACATAAACTTTGTAAAAATCTCGTTAAACCATGTCAAACTATTAAAATTACCTTTTTCAATAGGTTTAGAACTGTCTTTTTGGAACGGAATCTACAGTCCTAGTATTGGCTTTACTTTGGCTTTTGGAAACTCTGCCAAAGAATTGGTTGCACTTAGTGGAATCTTTATTAGCATTGGTGCTGTATTGGGTGAGTAGACATTACAACTTGATGGATAAGGTGCTAAACCACATTTATTTGACTTATTTTGTTCCCTATCACTGTAGTATCATTTTAAAAGTTAACCAAGAAGCTGTAATCCGTTCTCGCTGACAAATAAAAAATAAAGAATAATCAGTTTAGTTCTTACAACTTACAGTAGAAATTGTCTAAATTGAACTATGTTCTTGCATACGGTATAGAATTTTACATAGGAGTTCATAGATTACTTTGACTTACTTTAATCATGTCCGCCAACTAGCAATGAGCTTCAATAGTGGTTGACAACTTGGATATAGCCAACGTATAGACCACAGAAATCTAATAACACATTTTTCACTTGGTTAAAGGATAAATTTTTACTTTCTCTACTTACATAAATATATGGAGAAAGTATTGTTTTTGTCAAAATTTTTGAGTTTGAGTTTTGAGTGGATATATTTATTTTGGGTCCTCCAAACCCCAAAAAAGTGTTTTTTTTAAGTGAGGTCTGTTTGTGTGTGTGTGTGTCTGTTTGTCTGTATTTGTGAATGTTCACCACACTTGTAGTCCAATTTTGATTAAATTTGGTATGCAAGTACTAATCCATGGTATCTCCGGAATTTTTTTAAATTTTGATTTTTAATGGTTATTTTCCAATAAAACCCATAAAATGATGGAAAAATCTAATTTTCTCAAAAATGGTCTGAACGTTTTTGACAAAAAATTAGCATGTGTCCCTTGCCCCCCCTTTGTTATTGTCACTTGTGTGGGGTCTTTGTGACCCTTTAGATTATGGACAACATAGTACAAGCCCCAATTTCGTAAAAATTACGGTTCAATAGTTATTGTAAATTATGTTATTTATGCTATTTTTAAGTTCATCAGCATATAAGGAAAGCTTGCTAAAATAACTGATTTGCGGAAAATTTCTCAAATAAAAGATTAATAAAATAGGGCCTAGGATTGATTCTTGGGGCACCCCATAATTTTAATTTACTCCCCGAGTACAAGAATTGTAAGCAGTTTTATAACTTTTATTATTACAGTAAATCAGTTCTATGTTTTGTTTTCTAACCAAAAGACATGACTTACCCAGTTCAATGCCGTACTATTTAGTCCAGTTCTACTGAGCTATGAAAGTAACAACTCATGAGAAATGGAATCAAAAACTTTACTGAGGTCCTTGAACAATTCTACTACTTTAGATTTACTTTCTGAACTACATAAAAAAGATACCCTGCCACAGCAAACCTGACGACTAAGCCAATTTCCATTTGTCTGAATTGATTTTCAATTAAATCTATTTAATTATTTAATTTTATTATTTTATTAGGTTTAATACTTTATACTTTGATACTTTCCGATGAAATGGCGACCATACAAAGTAGGTATTTTAAGCCAAGTATGAATGGAGATGAGTGTAGGATGAGTGGCGCGATCTTGTAGTCTTGTTAGTGACTAAGGCGGACATATTCCTTAGACACAGCTTTTAATTAATAGCCCCATACAGCTAATGGCAACTAAGGGACCTACAGTTTATAGTGGAATCCGAACCACAGTTTTGCCTTGGTATATACAAATCGGTCTAATTATCAGGATAGTACTGCGGATAGTGGTAGTACTCATTCGTGCCGACGTTAATCCACACCAGTGGGTATCGCATCCACAGTGAATGCCTATAAATATCCACAATTTGTGACCTCCTAGTAGCTGGATTACAGGAGAACGCCACCCGGCCAAGTCGTATTTGTTACCTATGTATTTTTTTTTTGTTACCTAGGTTTAAAGAGTACCTAGGCTTGCTGCTACATGAAAACTAATGAAGTGTGTTTTTTTTAGTAAAATATTAATAGCTTGGTATAAAATAAATAAATTTATTTGCCAAGTTTTATCAAAATACATCCATAAACAAGCAAACTATATTTTACAATATTCATAGGAGTTTTAAATTTTCAAGTTTTTGAATTTTCTTCGTATATACTAAATTATTTGTTTTTTAAGGTCTCTAAAAAAATGTCTAGAGATAAATTGGAAAATTTTGAGGATCATAAATGAGAAAAACCATTTTTTACCCCATAAAACCCCGTTCCCATGGTCCGATCATGCTGGTTCGGAAACTAATTCAAGTTTTTTTTTTTTTTTTTTTTTTTTAAAAAAAGAGGTTGGCGGCCTCTTTTAACCTTGCATTTGCCCGTCCACATAGACTACAGATCTGTGCGTGGAACGTATCCAGCAAAGCAAGGGGTGAGCCGGTACAGTACAAAGGTGAACTGTACTGATAAAAGTTAGTGGCAGTGACCAGGATCCGAACCCACGACACTGCTGCCATGGGCCCGAAGTCCGCGACGCTACCGACTGAGCCACCGACTCACCATTTTATCCGCATTACACCTTTAAACCAAATTTCATGAAAATCTGACAAAAATTTCTCAAGTTATCGCGTTCTGGGATATATATATATATACAAAAATTTGAACAAATAGTGTTTTTGGCCTCTGGAGACATCAAAATGGAAAAGTAAATCAGTCCCGGGCCAAGGTCTTATAACGTGCCACCTACTGTAGTAGCTACTTCCCATTAGGGAAATTCGCTAAAAAAAGAAGATTAATGATTACGTGGCTGTGTGAGATATTCAACATTTTGACGCTATCCCAGAAGATGATGATGTTTCTTTTTCAGTTGGAGATATTCAGGATTTTTCTGCGATTGTGGAAAAAGATTCTATTTCCGTCATCGTGGGAGATATTAGGGATTTAGCCACGATCGCGGGTCCGATGATTTGTTGTCTACAAGACCGCAGGAGATTTCCCGGATTTAGTTGTAATCAGAGTAGAAGATGATAATGTTTCCGTGACTTTGGGGAGTATTAACGATTTTGCCATGGTCACAGTGGAGGATGATAATATTTCTGTGACCTATGAAGATGTTCAGGATTTTGCCACGATCATGCAAGAAGATGATGATGCCTTGGTGCCTCGTACTACTTTCGTATTATTTTCGTCGTACTTTCGAGAATTTCATGGAAGAAATATGTGCTGCAGAAGATGATCATGATAACATGTTAAGCCCAAGTGCAAGCTTAGGTGGAAATACCTGTTTTAAAATTGATTAAAATAGGTTTTTAATTAGTAAAACATAGTTAATTCTTGACTGTTTGCTCCCATCAGGTGGACTGTGTCAGACTCTGCTGTCAAATAGGTTGGCGAGGTACACTTGGGCTCGGAGGATGGTTGTGTTGTTTGGAGCTTTGGCTCAAGGAGTGACATATCTCATAACCTTCCTCAACCTCCCAGACATGGCTGTGTTTGGTGACACGGAAGACGTCAGCATTATTAACCCTCCAAGGTGAATACAGCTAGGCCTATCTGGGACACTGCAAGGTGGCTTGACAATTAAGGTCAGTTTTACTAGTTGCCGAATTCAACACTGTATCTGGCAGCGGACGGCAAAACAGGCGAACAGGCCCCATACCATTCAGTTGTGCACCCTAAATTGGCATAGACGAGCTCCTCGAATATTTTTGACAGTTTGCTATGCAGAAATGAATTGTATCAGATTTAAGTTGTGACAGGTCTTTGTATTAACAACTTCAATTGGCTTAAAAATTTCAGTTCAGTTAGGCTAGTTGAAGTTCTGAAATATAAAATTCAGTAAATTACACTAAAAAAACAATTTTAAACTGGTTTTCTTCTAATTTAGCAATATTACAAGAGTGGACAAGTGTTAAAATATAATCACTTTTTTTCAGTGCTGCCCTTGCCTTACTGGGCAGTTTCCTCATCAACTTCGGAGATGCTTGTATATCGACCCAGATTTACACTTTTATCGGAGACCATTACAGAGACAACATAGCTGAGTCCGTAGCCCTGTTCGCTTTTTTCAGGGTTTGTAGTAGAGTTAATCAGAAAAATCCTCCAGTAAAATCAAAATATTAAAGAGTATAAGCAAAAATCATATTTACTGTATTTGAAAGGAAAGCCAAGTGGCAGATTAGGCTTTTTCGTGAAGGCCAAGAAGGGATAGAGATACCTGAGAAAGTTACAGTCCAGGCATGTGCTTACTTTTTCCTTTGCATATTTTTTTCTGTGACTTGGTCGGTGTAAATTAACGTAATTAAACTAGAGCATTTTCATTTCAATCGGCAAGTGTGGAAGTAATTTAGATGCTCGTTCAACAATGTTGTCTAAGAGGAAACTGGCTACATCTGATCCATATAGAATATTTAGATGTTTAGATAGGATAGATAGATAAAGTTTACCTCAGCATCCAAGTTAATGGTGTGATGCAGGTTATATTCCATCAAATCTGTTATTGCTTACAGAGTGTATTGGTAGCAGCAAGTTTCTACTGGTGCAGTCATGTTGGTCTACACACTCAAGTCGTGGTGACTGCTACAGTCGCTGTGTTCGGAGTTCTGGCGTTCTTTGTGGCAGACAGAGATGCTTCACAGCCGCTTGTTCAATTGGAAGTGAAAAATGTGTCAAATATGACTAATGTTGATAGTTAACGTTTTTACATTTTTATTGTGTTTATACTACCCTATGTTTTATACTGCCAGGAAACACTAACCAGCTAAAAACCTGTGGATCAAACATCCCTCATAAAGTTTTCATTTGTATGAAAGATTTATCAAATAAAAATAAACACAAATTGTTTTGCACTTGATTGTGAGTAGACTACTGCAAACTTAAATAAACCATAATTACAGAGGCATAATTTAAAGTTATAATCTTACAGTACTAAAATTATAAATGTGAAAGTTTGCGTGTTTGTTTGTTTGAAGTTCAATCATGCATTAACTACTGGTTGGATTGGGTTGAAATTTGGAATGGTGATAGCTCACATTCCCGATTAACAAATAGACGTATTCTTATCTCAAAAATCCTTTCGGGCGTTGCCCTAGTAGCTCTAGAGTTTCCCATGTTAACCTTATGAGTATTCATATTTAAAAGGAATTAGCTGTTACTCATGGGCTTCACCCCGCTTGTCTTCATAAGTATTAATAATACCCCCTGCCACAGCAAACCTACAGACTAAGCAAATTTTCATTTGCCCGAATTGAACGAGTACCTAGGTTTGCTGCTACAGGGAGGCTAATAAAGTGTGGTTTTTAGTAAAATATTAGTAGCTTACTATAAAATAAATAAATTTGCCAAGTTTGATAAAAATATTTCTATAAACAAGCAAACTACAACATTTTACAATATTCTCCATAAAAATAACATGGGAATTTTAAATTAGCAATTTTTTTATTTTCTCTGTAACCAATAACCATACAATAACACTTTGGTATATTCAATTATTTGTTTTTTTAAAGCTCTTTATGATCTAGAGATAAATTGGGAATTTTTTTGTTTTGAGGGTCAAAAATGAGAAACCCCATTTTTTTACCCCATAACACTCCTCGTAAATCCCCCGTATAAGATTCCCCCAAGCAATTCCTAATTTATAGCCGTGAGAAAATACTGAATTAGAGATATTTTTGCTAAATTTTGTACAACTAAATCTAGAATACTACTGGACTGATTTTGTTGATCAAGAAGGGTCGTTGGAAAGCCTAATTTGTGTAGATTTGCAAATAATTATGAAAGTTAGGTTTTATTTAATACTAGCAGTTACCCAGCGCGCGTTGCTGCGCTAAAAAAATACATCTGTCTGTGTGAAAAGCATGTTTTCTACATTTAAACCGACGATAGTCAGGGATCGCCCTAGTGCCTTATAATGGTGATTGCGAAAGCAAAACACTAAGGAAATTGTAGTTGCTTAAATTCAGAGGGTAATTCGGATGAAATTATCAGTATTCTTATGATTAAGACTATTTCTCCCTTAAACCTACCACTGATAATTGATAGTAAAATTGTTTGAATTGAATTGTGTACCTGGATTCCTACTGTGAGACAGGCCTCTCCTCTACTCTTCTCATAAGTATAATATTTCCTATTGATTGTCTCCTCCTCCTGTTTTCAATATTTCTCCTTAAAATTCAAGACATTTTCTGTTCTTCCTACAAAACTGATTAACTGCTTGGATTTGTTTATACGCTTTTTAATATTACAAACATCAATATTTACTCCCAAAAAGCTGGTGAGTTTATTTTTATTTACAGCTGTCTTTGCTTTTAAATTTGTTTTCAATGTAATTCTTAAGGGGAAAATGCTAACTTTGAGAGCGTCTCGTGCCCTTAAGGGTATGATATTTTAAATTCTAAAACTTTTATGCAAAACTACGAATTGAGACAAATTATTTGACACCTCAAACGTTAAAATCGGTCCAGAAATAACCGAGAAGTTTTGTTCACAAAAAACAGCCCTCACGTATTAATATAAGAGATTGTATTACAAAATTATTGTATAGAACCATAGACTATTGGATACTAAAGATGAACTCATTACAGTACATTAGTTAGTACGCAATGAACCCAATTTGATTAAGCTGGCAGCAAACAGCTGTTTTCTGGACTAAATCCTTGCATGGGAAGTTCGTCAAAATAGTGTAGTGTGGCGTAAACATATTTTTGTATAAAAAACAAAATGGCGGATAACTGGGTGAATATGCATTTTCGGACATACCTTCACGTAAACTTCTTTCTTCCTTTTAGTATGAGGATGAGGATTCATTTCCCAAAGTCCTGAAACGTTTTTTATGGACACCCTGTGCTGTATATGGATTAAAGAATTTTGTCAGCTGTTTAAACTACACAAGTTGGTTCATCTTTAGTATCCAATAGTGGCTTGTAGGGACATAAGTCCCTAAAAAGCGCAATAATGTAAAACAAATTATTCTAATATCCAAACAAACTCAGAAATATACTACCTATGTGTCAGAATTGATATCCCTGTACACCATATCTTTTGTGTAAAAACAGTTTGTTGTTTGTCTTTGTTGATGTTATTTTCAATAAATCATTTGAATCATCACTATGTAGGTTTAACTCTGTTAAAGGCAGCAAACATATAATCATTGTGAATAAATACTGGTTTATTAAGGTAGTTTTGGTCTTGTGGTCAATGGTAATAAAAAAGACTTCTCTGATTGGAATTTAGGAAATTGTCTTCGTCAAATATGAAAAGGCAAATAAAGGTGTGAAGAGGTAAGCTTAGTTCTTGGCCAAACCCGCTAAATTAGCATCCCTACCCAGTTAATATTTCTAAGTTTATACTCCTTACTATATACTATACTATAGTATACCGTAAATTAAAAGAACCAAATTTTCTTAAACCGCGTCCTCTGCAAAGCAATAAGCATTTTATGCCCAAACGCCAACCCTGCACGAAGGATGGGTACTCTGCTAGTTTGAAATAAATACGAAACTAGCTGTTTTCCCTGCTCTTTGCTTGCGTAGCTTTTTTTACCGTACATAAAGGAAAACAGGTAAACCCTATAATAACTTCTGTGTATAGTTTGATCGATAGTTGAATGGTGTTTCCTTTCAACTATATTTAGGTTGTATATTCGTTTATTTTGAACATATGCTATGATTCTTTGTTTAAATTTACGTTGTTATTTCATAACCGTCATCATCATAGCAACCCATAAGCTGAATGTTAAAACTGTACATTATCAATTGAAATTTTTTTCTTCACAAACATTTCCCACTCTTAATCGAAATAAGCTTGGTGAAATTGGCTATACAGTAGACTCCCTCTTATCCGGACACCTTTTTATCGGACATTGGTTTAACCGGACCACACTCGGTAGAAGTGACATCTCTTTATCCGGATAATTTTTATCAGCACATCGGTTTAACCGGACTAGAAGTGGGCGGTTCTGAAACGTCTGTTCTCGTGGGAAAGATTTGAGACCAGTGATTACGTGTCTAAATAAAATGCTCTCCTAATTTTGAGTCAAATACTGTATAGAGTATGCATTTAAATGGTCCGTTTTCATGAGATTTTGGGGACGTCGGTTTAATTAGAAAAACCGTTATCCGGACTGGCCTCGGTGCCAAGGAGTCCGGATAAGAGGGAGTCTAATATAATGTGTTCAGTTGTTATTGCATAATGGTGTAATAACATTTGCATCAAGGTTGATCACAAATTGATTGTGGTGGGGGAAAAGTTTTTAATGTGCATCCTGCTCACCATTCTAAATGACTCGATCCATACTTAACCATAAACCGAATATTAATGTTGCCACTGCTTGAGCTTGATTGAATTGGTGCAGACCCAGTCCTTGGGAACATTAGCCATGAGCCAAGAGGACATTTGTGCTGAAGTGCTTTAGAGCTCGTTGAGACTGAGTTAATCAATGAACTGTAGCATCTTACTATGAGCTCTTCCTGAGGCAAGTGTCCCCACTCCCAGAGGGTACCAGAGTGCTTTCACTAACCTTATTTAGAGCTCAGTCATCCAGTAGGTCTGCAGTCAGCTTAAGATTATTACTCGACAAAAGGTCACTATTCAATAAAAATCTACAAAAGATGTAAATAAAATCAAACTTTACTGTACAGTTGGAAAAAAATTGAAAGTTACACATTTAAAGCTAACACAATACCTAAAAAAACTGTGTATTCTTGGTAGCGGGAATCTGTCGTATCTTGGACACGGTTTTGTCACCAGTTTTGATGTCACCGATGTACACAGTTTTGCGCTCCTTGCCTCCCTTTCCTCCCTTGCTGATGTATATCTTGGTGCACTTGAGAGGTGGCGCCTTGTTGGCTAACACCAGCCTGACTGGCTGAGGGGTAGCCGGAGGAGGGGGCAGCAACTCGTCTGCTTGATCCCCCAGGATAACTGGCATGTCCAGGATGTTCAACTCGTCCAGCAAAGGTGGCTCCGATACATTCTGTATTGTCAAGTCCTTGGAACCTACAAACATAATTGTAACCTAGTTTCTCACTATTTCTCACATGTACATCTGATATTTGAAAGGGAAAGGGACACTTGTGTAATAGATAATAGGCAAGTAGTGATAGATGAAATCAGAAATTTAAAATCACTAAAAGGAAACAAAAGATGTCCAGAATCTTGAATCTCAAACCTAATCGGGATACTTTTTACTTACCTGATTAGGATACTTAAAAAATGTTTGACATGCAATCATAACTGAAAGAAATTGACCTCATGACCTTGACATAGTACAACATGGTAAACACCGTTTTGACAAAAAAACATTGTTTTTTATAAACTACAAACATTGAAATAAATTGAACTACTAATGTGAGATTAAAACTTAATTAATTCAATCTTCAGATTTGTACTTGAAACTCATCAATGGAATCTCAGAACCCAAGATTTAGTGGTTTTAACTTTAAGGTTCGGTGGTTTCGATATTCAGTTTTGACACATCACTTTGAAGAAGTGAAACAATAAAAAAAAATAATATTATTTCCCATGGTGTATCATGTTGTATTTTATAGCTCATACATTTTTGAAGAGGTGGATGTATGAAAACATTAGTTCATAGCTAAGGAAATATTAGTTTTACATTCAAACACCCCAAATAATGTTTCCGGTAAAATACATTCATGTTATACAATCCAGATTGTAATAATTATTTGAAAGAAAGTGAAGAAGAAAGTGATAGAAAGCGTTGTTGGTGAAACAATAAGATAAAGGGACAAGGTTGTTTAAACTAATCAGACGTTTTGGTTACTCAAACAATAGTTGGAACTAGAAATAATTTAGCTATTAAGACACATATACAAGATTAACCTATTCTTAAAATGAATATCCCAGCCGAACAACGTTGCAAATACTTTTGTGAAATTGAGATTTTTACAGAAGAATAATGCAAATGACATTCTCTACTGCGTGTGTGACACAAATTTCCTGCCGGCAAAAATTTGTATGGTAACGTAGGAAATTCCGCCACCCAAACAATCAAAGTCCCAGAAAATCCCACTGTAAAGATTTTTTTCCCTACAGTTTTACCAAAAACTGAAAAACTTAGGGGAAAAAATCCCAAAACTTTTAATGCATATTTTAAGAGAGGGTAACCAATTACAATTCCCCACTTAATGTGTTGGCTGCTAAAAGCCAGGCCTAGCCTTCATGTTACAACAGTTTTGCTAACTAAAACTTGTAGAAAAATATCAAAATATATCTAAAAACTAAAAAGGTTGCTACACAACTCACCAAACGACGAAATCGACAATAAACTGTACGAAAACGAAATACGTTTCACCACAAAATAAGGTCTCGCAACTCGTAATTGACTTTCAAGAAAGAAAAAAGATTGAGAAAATCACGAGTGAAACGAAAACTCTGAACTATAACAGGGTCAGTCAGAATGGCGGACTTACTTCTTTCCCCGGCTCAGGATTGAGAGGAAGAACATAAAACACCCCTGATTAACCAGCAGGTTACAAAAAAAAAAAAAAAAAAACAAGGCCGAGATTCCTCCTACGTCTTTCTAACGGTGAAGGCCAACATAAGATGTTTACCCATGCTGATAAGGGGATAAAAACCAATTCTCCCTGAGACTGTCCTCAGAAGAAGCCAAACAACCAAACAACCATGTAGGCCTCTGCAGGGATGTCGTCTGCGGTCGAAGCCTTCAGAGAGGTTATGCAAGAATCTGTTATGAAGTGCCGGTTAGTGCCGCGACTAGGGCCAAAGTCTAGCTGTTAATTTCAAAAAACCCTTCTATCGTAATTGACTGTTTTATTAACTAATAAAGTGATTCCTTTCCTCTACCAACACCAGGTAAACTGAGATCTTCAGTAGTTTACTAGTTTAACCTGGTAACAATACAATCTGAAACGTCCCCCAACACCAATTAGGCCCGTTACACATGGACTATTTAGTTTCAGCACATAGAAGCGATTGAAAGGGCGGGAAACTGCCTGGCACAGCCAAATTGTTTTTGTGTTTTCTGAAAATATTCACTTTTGTCAATTGCAACATTGTTTGGCGGAGCTATTCCATTAATAACAATTAATCGACAAATTGTTCTCTTAACTTAATCTTTATCACGGTATGAAATCTATGTTGTTGTCTGACCATTACTGTTGGCCAACTGGGACCAACTACGCACACCACAGCGACCAATTCTTGTTGTATTTCTTGTAAAATTTTCAAGTTACATCATAAATTCATAAAAACCAATAAACCCAAAAACCAAAATTTCACGAATAACATCACACTGACCACTGCGACTTGGAGAAATGACACCTCGAGATCCTGGCGGCAGGATTGAGGTTAACGATGTCAGCTGGCCTGCAGATAAGCGACTTTTAACTGTAACATAGATCCAGATTTAACATCACATAAAACTTCTTAAAACAATGGGTTAAGTGGAGAACAGCATCTTCTGCTGAACTCCCAAGTACAACACTTTATTACTAAAGTAGATTTCAGTAATCACAAAGTATCACAAGAACAAACAGGCAATGTGGTGTCTAATCAACTTACTACTACTAAGAAGTTTGGTAATGACAATGTAAATATGTAATTTTTATCAAAACAGCACGATATGTGCTAACAAGCATCTATATCAGCTAGCCTCTAGAAACTGACTTAAAACTGTGGATGCAAAGTAGGCCAATCACAAGAGGCATGGGTTGAAAGTGGTCACACAAATCACATACACATATAAAAAAACGTGCATAACATGAACCAAGAAACAGAATGTCACACAAAAACACACACACACAAACACTCATACGCACACACACACATAAAAACATAAATGGACAGTAATTATAAGTACCAGACGACAGAGAAGGACAGGAGTATGAAGGGCTTGACAAAACTTTTAACAGTTTTAACTACTTTAGACCATAAGATTGTTGAATTTGAATAGTAATTTTCCATTGCGTGTTCATCTGTGAAGCATAGCTATGTAAGCATCCAAGTAAATTTTATATATTTTGCTTCAATCTGATTTTGCAGGCTGGAATGGGTTTGTGTAATCTTAAACTATTACAGTAAAACCTCACTAACTCGACCATTTGTGGACCCAGAGGTTGAGGTTGAAGAGTTTAAGGGTTGTCAGGCTATCCAGAACATTAAAATTGTTAATGGGTTTTAATAAATGAATGCATAGCAGAGTAATAAATTTATGAGTATTTTTACATATTGAGTAAAACAATCTCCAAAGAAATTTCAAATATTCAACAATTAACACTTGAAAAGCCAAACTTGATAAGACAAAGCCAGCTACATGAGCGCACTATCAGCCATTGACGACAGTTGAGTTACAAGGGCTGTCGAGTTAATGAGGTTTTACTGAATCCTATTTATTTCTACATTAACTCACAATAATTAATTATGCTAGCTAAGTAAACTCTATCTAAATACCCTTCAGTGGAATAAATAAATAATCATAAAAGGCACATAATTCCACTTTTTATGACAGCTGTAGACAAAATGGCTTTCTACCTGTAGAAGGATAGCAAGGTTACCTGCGTTGTTGAGAGACGGAGAGCTAGCAGCTACCACAGTGATTGTGCCTTCCGCAGGGTTCACTGGCTTGGGTGGGACAGAGATCTGTTGAAGCCGCTTCTTTTCTAATGTCACTTGTCTTCCACCACCAATTGTCGCTACAGAACCCTGCCAAACAACTATTTTATAGCCTACTTTTGTTAAAACAACGGAGGGCAAGTTTCGCCCAACACCTACTGAACAATAACCACTCTAACACAATACATTCAAAATACTTTAAAAACTCATGTACACATTAGAGAATATACATTTTAATAATTTAAAACCAATCCCCGTGATGTTCTCCCCATACAGTTAAATTTCAACTCCAATAGCCTTTTTAATAAAATATTAGAAACACAATAGAGCGCAGGTTATGGGGTGATGAGAAATCAAAATTCAACTTCCAGCAATGACACGCAACACACAAACCAGCTGTGATCTGTTACCGACCGCGGAACATTCCTATTTCCCCTTGACCGTTTACAGTATTAACACAATCGCTACCGCAATAGTACAACATTTTTCATTCTTATGGACCAGCGACGCACATATGCGATGGCTGGTTTCTACCCATAGACTGCCATCGTATATATGCGTCGGTGTTCCTAAGTTATCAAAACACTTATATCTTTGTAACGGTCTATTTGAAGGTACTGAATTCTCTGCAGTGGTCTACAGGGATGTTTGTCGCACAACTGTGTCGCTTGGTCTGTGGATATGATGATTGGGGACTTCATATGATAGTTGGGAAAACTGCTCTTTACTTTGCTGCATCACTGTATGTATGTTTGTATGTATGTATGCTCTATGTATGCTACACTGTCCCATGTAGCTTTTATATTTGTTCAATTATAAACTGTTCGTTTTTTTTTTACTTACTTTCATAAAAAAATATAAACAAAAATGAACTGTCGCATATATGCAGCGTTTGGGCTATTTCAAGAAAATATAATAATTTTTACTATTGTCTTCTCTGTGGGCCGGGTGTTGCTAAAATGTAAAACTACAAAAGGTTATCAAAATAAAAAAAACAAAATATATTATTTACAAACAATATTGCAAGTATTACAAAGTAAACTATCACCGTTCAACAGGTTTTCGCCCGTGGTCTGCGTGTACTGTTAACCAAGTGACAGCCAGTCTATGTGTAAGAATAAATTGTATACCTCGGTTCGTGGCAATGATCACAGTGTCGCATATATGCGATGCTCGGTAGTGAACGTGTTAAACTCTAGGCCTGGTTGTTGTTATGTTGTGGTATATGTTTGTGTACGTATTGTGTCATATTCTGTGTGTCGTTCATCGAGAGATGGATAAATTTTAAGCTTTGATGGATATAAATATGGCTCGACAAGAGCCGAAACCCGGGTCATCCACTATAAAGGACGAGTCTGAGCTGTGTTGGAAATGTTGGTATGTATAATAGCATACTGCTATGGTGGCCAATGACAATAAATGAATAGTACTGTATCACTTAGTTTTAGCATATTTAAGATAAGTAGACTAATGGGATACTATTTCATGTACCAAGCCCTAAATTTTATGAGATAAAGATGAAGAGTAACCAATATTTGCCAAACCTGTGACACGGGAGAGCGTACTCCTTCACTTGGTGTCACTGGCAACTGTCCTGCCCATTTGTTTTGTACCATCTTCTGCATCATGGAGATCTTGGGCTTGCGACCCGGTCCTGTAACACAATTTTATGTCAATAACAGAATTTTTGGTTGAGTAATTATTCTAAACTAAATGCCTTCAACTAGCCGTTAACAGAAAGTTATATACGAGGAAACCAGAGCACAGACCTTGTTGTAATAGTTTTCAAAATTTGACCCTGAGGCATAACAAATATTAAAACACATTTTTACAACTTATTAAAAACTAATTTTCAGAAACGGTTTTAATTCTTGTTTACAATTTAAATGAATGAATAATATTTCAATTTGACTGTTTTGTTAAAGAAATCCATTTAAAGCAATAAGTTTTTTTTCATGAAATGTTTAAGTGAAAATTATTTCTGGTTCAAATAAAAGTTTTATTTCCATAATAATTAAAAATTCCAAAGATATAAAGGAGAAATTTGGGAAAATATCCGAGTTGTAACTATCTGAGTGATAACTAGTTTTTTATTTTTATTACGTAACAGATGAGTTAGATAGTTAGATGATTTGTGCAGGAAGAAAAACCTTCATGCAAATTGTATAGCTTTTGTAGCATAAAACAATATTTGATGAAATGTTATGAAATACACTACTTTACTGTCACAAAAGATTTCACAAATCCAGCGTAGCTGGTAAACAGGTGACATTGTCAGATCTTTAACAATACAAAATAAAACTAAAAACTACATGTAATTAAACTAAAATACATTTACTTATCATTTAAATATTTGGAAAGTAAATAATAATTTTTCTTCATAAGGTATTGCTTAATATAATTTTTAAATATGTAAACACTATCAATTACTTTGAAGTTTGTGGGTAGAAATGTGGAAAAGTCTAAAACCCATAATATTTATCTGTGTATTTATTACTATCTATTATTTTTTTACTATTGTTTTAACAAAGTCTATTGTAATTATAGTGTATTATAATTAGGGGTCTGCGGTGCACCGAAAAAGTCGGTACGGTACGGTACAAGCTTAATTACCGACATCGGTTCGGTACAGCATTTTACACGGTACAAATTCGGTTCGGTACAGCCTATTATAATAATAAATTACTTTCAGTTTACTATCGTAGTCAACAGCAGTTGGTTCCGAGCACATAAAAGTCTTATCAGATGTTTGTTTACGATCTTCATAATTTATTACTAGCGTGATGATGCAATAAAAAACCCATAAGCAGTCCCAAATCCATTAACATTTTATCACGACAATAATTGTTGTATTGAAGTACTTCCAAGAACTGTTGAGTTTTATCACTTTTATTTCTTTACGACTTTCCCCAATTCTGTTTTATCATAAAAATAATAGTTTTATGATGACTGTTAAATGTTATCTCTAACTTAATCAGTATTTTCGTGAATATTGAATTTGCCGCTGGCCATTGCCTACTGCCATAAAACTATTTATGGCTACATATTAAACTTGTAACAAATCTACAATCTTATTTTATAAATTAAATATTTGTTATGGATATTTTATCTTTCTATTGACGACCATGGATATATACAAACTTTTGTCGTAATTTTAATTTCAACATCAAAATACAATATTGCACAATCGTGATATTTTAGGCCATTGACCTTTATTATGCATCCGGTATTGCTGTTTCAGAAGAGAAGCACGTTGATAAATTATAAATTGATATTCCCGTAGTTAAAAAGAATATTTTATAAACCTATAAAACAAAATCATAAAATCTTACATAAAGATAACAATAACGGAAATTGTAAAAAGGGTATAAAGATAACAACGTCATTCTTTCTCTTTGTTCTTCTATTTCTTGGGTTTCCCTTCATCACACATTCAACAAGTTGCCATGGTTATTAATCACCCATGTCGTTATCAGCTTTTGTGACATAGCGCACAGCAGGGGGTAAAACTTGACGAAAATCGGTAAATTTTTACCTATTATTTAATTACCAATGAATGTACGGTACTACTTTATTGGTATTTGGTATTGTATTAATAATCGGTCCAAATGGCAGATTTTTGTCAAATTTTACACCAAATTTATTGAAATTTCAAGGTGAATATTAATAAAACAATTATTACCAAATATTTGTATTCATTTAAAAGATTGATTTGTGGTATTGGGTTCCCCACTGAGTGCAGCCGAGCGGCACTAATGAGGGTCGGACCTTCTTGGGGGTGAACAATAGACGGCTTATCAGACCCTCCCCTCCCCCGTGGTCTGGAGAAAGCATGTAAACAAACTATTGCACAAGCGTGCGTGACTTGACATTGAGCTGCTTCAACTATAATTTTGTCAAATGAACTGTGATGTTTCAAAATCAAAAACAATAATTTGGGACCATACTGCTTAACAATAATGGACTGCAATTATTGTTGAACATACAATCCATTTTTAACAAACTAAGATTATACGATTCAAATACAATTATAAAAATTATCTTGGTATTTTACTTGGGGTAATGTACCGATTCAAAATCAATGACCAAATGAAAATTCAAATCAAACTGAAAACGCGCGAAGGCAAGGACCAACAACGGCCAATCACGTGAGCGCGGAGGAACACCAATTTGCTGACTTGTGCGGACGTCTTTTTCTAACGGTCACTTGGGACCAAGCTCTGAGCCGCGATGTACGGAAATCTTTAAATTCTCCTTTTCAATTTGCAAAAATCACTTTTGGTAGTCGTAACGTGTATTTCGTCAACGAATCAATTGTTCGATCTCCGGAGTGCATTGATATCTAAAACCGTGAAACAGCATTTACTAAATTACGAATTGAAACAAAACGAGTCTTTAAGTTCGACGTCGACCGGCAAAATTCGTCAGATTTGACCATTTTCGTAGAGCCTATCCCAAGTACAGTGTCGTAATTATATGTTTATGTGTCGTCAAAATTGTCTTCTGTGTATGTAAGTAAATGTTTTGTGTAAATTGTATTTATATCATTAGGAGAAGCCAATCTGTCCACATTCATATTTGTATAATCATGTTTCTTGCAGGTTTCATGTCTTAGTGTGTAAATTCAGTCACATTGCTTTAGAATTATTGCCATTTACTTATTTTAAAATACATACTGTGATACATTTGTAGATATTGTTATATTAATAATTTGGGTAAATTTTTATACCAGTTAAATTTCATATTAGTTTTGTGCTTAAATTCAAATTATATTGTTAGGGTAATCAGCTGTCTGTCACGTAAAACTGTTACAATTTGTTCTTGCTTTAATATTTGGGTTTGAAATCACTTCAAAAATACATAAAGAGATCACTGAGAGTATTTGATTGGGTGCAAATTCAGGTTTCAATCAGAGCATTGTCCCGGTTGAAGGTTAGGTGTCAATACAGGCTACAAGGTAGGCTTCCATTAACGCCATAAAAATCATATTTTTAACTTAAATTAAACAAACGACTCAGTAGTCGTTTTGGTCCAGTTTGCTACTGAGCAACAAAGTGTGCTGTACACAGATCTACGAATAGCCCCTTTGCACATAAGATCAACTGGCCAGTTGTAAGTAAATACCATACTTTGGGAAGCCTAATAGCCTAAAACAGATTGAATAAATTAAACCTAGGTTCCCGAGGCTCTGCTGTCAATATTTCAGGAAAGAAAGTCAAAAAGACCACAATCAATACTCTCTCACATTAAATTGAAGTGTAATTAGTAGAAACTAGAATATTATTAATTATAGCTGAAACTTGAATATTATTAATTTTAGCAGAAACTTGAATATTAATATTGATTATTTGTAATATTTGTATTATTTATAGTGATAATACACAAAGCTTATTCTTTCATCAATTTTATTAATTCTCCTGTGTTAATCTTTTCAAGGTAATCGGCTTAACCGGACAATTGCAATAAAGTACAATATCATTAAGTAGTCAATTGACACAAAATTTATTATATATTGGTTCATCAATATTTTGCATAATCGTTTCAATATTTCAGAGTCAAAACCAATGTTTTAACAAAGTTTCAACAAAGAGTGTAATTTTGCATTCAGAGTATTTGATATACTTTTTATTGCATCTTAAGAAGTGTTACGTTTAAGATTATTGAAAGCACTTTCAGGAGGACATATCAGACCTCTCAACGGTCCATAAATCGGACTTCTGGGATACACAATTATCAGGGCTCAATACAACATCTTACTTCCACTGCCGGCTCTGTGATTGGTCCTCAGTTGTCTGATCAACTAAATTAAATTCATTGAAACCCCACCAGGGGGCAACTTTTTGTTGTACTCACACCTATATGGAATAGCCAAATTGCATTACATAAAGGTGTGAGGCGATTTTAGTGATGGAATGATCAATTAATGTAAAGAGTATATTTTGAAGTAATAAGTAAGTAAAGAACGTTTATTTTTTCTTTACAAAAAGTGATAGCACTAATATTGAGAGGTCTGGTAACAAGGCAGATTGGCTCTTCTACGGACAGATTGGCATAGATAAGATTGATATTGACCCTCAGAATCTTGTTATCTTGTCACTTGTTATCTTTAAGACAGATTATACCCGTTCATATTGCAGTGTTTACTTGGTTATTTATTATCTGTGTATATTTGTCCGTGATTGTTTATATTTATTTATAGGGAAAATTGAAACATTTTGTGAATTTATAAAACTGAGGTCGATTGCATTTTTGCGAATTTGATTTCAAAAAAAAAACTTTGCAATTCAAAAATGAGACGTCAATTGTACGGTCCCAATTACGTAACTACGGCAAGCGATAGGGCTCAGAGGATGGCAAGCAGGCGTCATGTGTCAGACGAAGGGCTTGTGTCCGGTAGGGTTGGTGCGTCACACGCAGAAACAGGAAACGTTCGTAGCAATCATGTCTCCCCCCCCCCCACCGATTCGTTCCGCGCTGGTCACGTCACATTTGTAGGAGAAGAAATAGAGCGTATTGCGAACAATGTAGTCGGCGATTTGAACATGTCGAACAGTGATTGTTTGTTGGATTTAGATAATGACGTGTTGGAACAAGCTGTGCACTCACGTTCGCATCTCACTTTTGATTCGACCGCAACAGAATATGTCACGATTG